TAAGAGCACTAATTTTTTTTTCTTATAAAAACTATAAATTGCATGCCTATCCTTTTTAAAGTTAATGATTCTAATTATAAATAGTTTTGATTTGATTGATAATGATGTACTAAACCGACTTAAAATCTTATCCAATATATTTTACATGACATATTGGACTCACTATGGGTTGAGGATTCGAAATCTTATCTAATAATATTTTTTTTATTTACTAAAGAATTAACTTATTAAAGGTTGTGATGAGCATCTTGATTGGAAATATTTTATTAGACTAAAAAGTCTTGGGGTTAAATCTTGTTTTGACTACTTGTTCTTTCTTAAAAACACAATGTTGCTTTTATCTTTAGCATAATTGTTCTATAAAAATCCTAAAAATAAATATGAGGGAACAAATAATGAATTGAAATAATAAATAAATTTGTAAACATTTAATATTTTAATATTTAACAAACCCAATGTTTATGGGACATATATGAAATATCTAAATATTTGAATATATATATATATATATGTATATATATATATGTATATATATATATATATATATGTATATATATTATTAAATTTTGGAAGGGTACATTATACATTTATAAATTTTGAATGGATAAATATATAAAACCCTTAAAATTCATCCTATGATATTTATAAGATTTAAACCATATAAAATTTAAAACTTAAATCGATGCACTTAAACGATCGATTATCCCTAATAATAAGTTCATCATATAACATTCACATAAATATTTACTATATCAAACCTTATAAGCAATACATTAATTAATGTATCATTAATTAATTTGATAGAAATAATTTTAGTGCAAAAGTTTATCATTAATTAATTATAAATATAACTGAAAATTCACATATAAAGTTACATATGTTGGAATGCTAAAAATTATGACCAAATTGTAACCGATAATAATATCCCGAATATGCCTAACACTTTGGTATAAATAACATATTTATCTAAATTAATCTATGATCTTATAACTAATTTATAGGGTCTACATAATAGCCAAAATCACTAAACAATTAAAAACCATTTAAGAGAACATATCAATATAGGCTTTCAATGCATAAGTCCTTATACATCATCTTAAATATGACAAATAATCTAATGTTCAAAACTATAATAATAATAAAAAATTAAATTATTTTAAATAAATATAATATTAAAATAGATTTTTAAAACTAATAATTCATTCAACACTGGCAAATCATATTATTGGAAATATGTACATTATTAATTTTAATGACAAACAACACACAACCATTGGTTGCTTACTAGCACAATGATCAAAGATCCTCTCACATTTCTTAGATCATTAAAAGTAGCATAAATAAATATAATAAAGAATAAATCCTAAAATCATATTAATCATTAATTTATCCTTTTTTTTCTTTTCTATCCTCAACGATAATCATTTATATTAATATTTTATTTTATTCTTTAATATCATATTGCAGAATTAAATCAATTGTTCTATAATCCTACTTACTTTTTTTTGATAAATAGGAAATCGTAATTACTCAAAAATGTATATAAATATAATTTCTTTGAATATAAGCTGACTATTTTGATATAAAAACAAGACATGGGTAAGATCATATTGTTTTTTCTCATTTTTCTTCTTCTTCTTTTCTCCATCTTTTTCTTTTTCTTTTCCCCTTTTACTTCTCCTTACTTTGGCACAACCTTTTTCTTTCCATTCCTTTTCCTCTCACTCACCACGTCAAGCCTTTCTCTATATTTCTCTTTTCTCTCTTCTTTCTTTTATTTTGTCTTTTCTCTCTCTAGACGCTGTGTTTCTTCATTTTATATAGATTTTCTTTTATTCTCCATCCTATCATCGAAATGAGAAATGAAATGGCTAATTGGGAGAGTTTAAAATTCTAGAAAATTCGATAATGAATAAAAAATATTTTGATCTGTTGTTGTCGATCCTCAGATACAACATTTTCCCATCATAGTAGAATATATAAGTAGATGTTAAGTATTAAAACATCCTAATATCTCACTTTTTTTCAAGTATATCTTAGATGATAATAATAATAATTTTTAAATCAAAAAAATCTCTTAGGTATTACAATTAATTTAAAATTTTTTAATATTTTAAATTGAAAAGATTCAGTAGTAATCATCCTTTTTCATTTTATTTACATCCACTTGCTTTATAATATACTCTTTTATTAAGTTCTACTTTTTCTAGGATGGATTCAAATTTAGAATTAACCCTAGCTAAATTTTAATTGAATATTTTAATATTGAGGATGGAGGAGCAATGAACAATAAAAACATAATACTACGATGTAATTAAAAAGAATTCTTTCGATCAAAAAAATCGATGCAGTATTTAAACAAAAGGAAAGATATAGAATACTTATAAGATATTCCCAAGTGAACACACACTTGTTTTGCTTCATGAACTATTATCCTATTTATAGGACTTAGAGGTAACTGTCTCACTCCATCATGTCATCCATGATTGAGTTAATCATAGAAACTATCCTATAACTTTTAGATCATGGGTCATTACTTAGAACATGCATATAACTACCTAGAACATTGTAACTACCTAGATAACTACTATGAATCAATTCTCAATTTTATCACCTTCAGATCCTCAACAATTTTCCTTTAATTCAATCAACAGATTAATCAAAAACAAATTCAATCAAAAGCTCTTTCATTATATACAGTCCAGAATTCTTTACACAATCCTAACTCCATAATACACTCTACAGACCATCCATCCATCTTTTGAGGAAGGTTACGATGTATGTGAATGATGTTCTCGAGTCCAACCAGAATCTTGAAGGCTCTAATGAGAGTACAGGTGATGGCCAAGATAAGCTATGATTTCTTTCTTGACGGAGTTGCACATCGGGAACTCACACAATGAACCTCTTTGCTACACCTCGCTACGATCCCACCGATGTCCGAAACGCGTTACTGGATGGGCTCAGGATCGTCGACACCTTGCAACTTGCATCAATTTGGATTCGTTGGATTCGTGATGTTTTTTTTCCTTTTGTTTGCTCAAAGTAAATGAGTGCTCAAGTCATTCATTCAGTGGCTCTTTTTGGTAGATGCCATGCTTCATACTTTTTTCCTTCATGCAGCCGATCCGCAGCCTCATCAGCCTTTTTGTATCTAATGCTTACATCAATATAGTGTTTTGTTGTTGTTGTTGTTGTTGTTTTCCTTTCAGAAAAAAACACGTTCTACAGTTTATACATGCTGAGATTCGTTATATCTTATAACATCATCTCACCAAGAAGCAGTAGTTCAGGAGCTTTCCAGATGGAGGACCATGTTGGAGACAAATCTTCAACTGGTGAAGAAGATTATATTATTAGGTAAGTAAAGATGGAAAGATCCACCTTTTCTTCTTTCTGATTCTGTGTTTAATTAACATCACCTTTTTTGTTTTCTTTCCTAGTAATTAATTTGTGGTTTTTGTCCCTTTTTTTTTTTTCCTTTTACTACTTCTTTCATGCTCTCTCTCTCTCTCTCTCTCTCTCTCTCTCGCTTCTTATAGTTTCAGTTCCTTCTCGGCCTTCTAGTTCCAGGTTCCGAGCCAAGAGAAAAGGCAAGAGAGAGAGAGAGAGAGAGATGTACGCAGAAGCCGGGATGCTGTCGCCCTTCATGCAAAGCTTTCCACCAATGGCCGAACAGCATCTCCTTCCATTCACAGATCTCGAAGACTTTCTCACCACAAATTTCCCTGATGCTGCTTCCAACCCGGTACATGTCGCTCTACCGGACATTCTTTTTTTATTGGTGTTTGCTGCTTAAAGTCTCATTGACTCATACGGCGGCTTTTCCCGCATGAAAGAAGCTCAAATCAGTACTGAAACACTTGGAATCGTTGACTTTATGCTCTCTCTCTCTATATATATTTATAGACATATTTCTTTTCATTATTTTCTTTCCTTCCGTTTGGAAGTCCTAAGAAGAATATAGATGTTAAAGGCATATTTTAGTGATCATGTCCACTTTAACAGATGTAGAACATGTACTACAATTTTTCTTTTTTGTTTGTTTGTTTGGAAAAATTAACTCAAAGAGAACTTCGTTTATTTCATGGGAAATGACACGCAGAACTCTGAGGATTGTTGATTCTGTGCAATCTGTCGAGTGCTGTGTCTGTAAGAAAGTTTTTGTCTTTTGTTTTCCTTCCTATCACTTCTCTGATATCATGTTGATGTTGAGTTGATTAGTCTCATGTTAATAGAAGCAGTATATTTGCAAGAATTTTATAGTGTTTGTCATTGTTTTACATTGTTACAAGGTTAGATGCCAAATGTAATATTTTTTACATCGTTTCTTGTAATTTGGTTTCACAAAAACTGGAAGCTTGCTTTTCTGATCCAATAAGTCTTAAAACATCAAATTTCTGCATTTTTCATTTGAAGGAAACAGAGAATTTATGCAAGTACATTTTTGAAGTTTTTCACTGTTTGCTTTGACACCATGAAGAAGATTTCATTAGATACATACATTTGATTGCTTGCTTATACAACATTGTGGTCTTCCCTGCATTTGCAGCTCCTCATGTTTCTTATGATTTCCCCAGCAGCTCTTCTGTTCTTCTTTGCACTTGCATATGATGTTGATTTGACAGAGTACTCTGTTTCAGACATGTGCTATCTCTGAATATGACCTGGGAGGAGAAGGAGATCTGTTCAAAGCTCCAAAGCCCATATTAGAAGAATCACTACTTGCATTTGATCCCATGGCAGCAGCAAATTCGATGATATTTGGTGGTGAAAGTATCATCATGGAAGACAAGATTCAAATAGCTCACATGGAATCAATCCAAAATGAAGATCTATTTTGTGAGGTCTTCTATGACTGCAAAAATGATCTTCTTGCAATATCGACTGATGCACCAGTTCCTGAGGCAGCAGACTTCATGCTTCCTGTGCTGCAGACTGAAGAAGTTGCGGTTGGAGAAAACAATAACATCTTTGCAGAGGGGCCTTTGCAGAAGAGTGTCAGCTCTGGGTGTCTAAGGTCAGTAGACTGCACAAATGGATCTTTGCAGAGGGGCCTTTCCAGCACTGGACCATGTTTACTTGATGTTCACGAAATGAATCTTGAAGCTGCATTTGGAATGAGGACATACAGTGAAGGAGATATCCAGGTCAGATTAAAGAAGTCATGACTTCCAATATGAATTATTAATTTTCAAGTGATCATCTCATATTTGGCTTATCATATGATATATTATTTTTCAACTGTACATATTTCAGAGCTTATCACAAAGAATATAATTGTTACCAATCGTTAGCTTTTAACACTGGATGCAAGGAACATTAAGAACAATCATTTAGTTCCTCAGATTCACAGGTCGCAGTGTCATCAGAACTGCTGCAGATCCTCTCCTTACCTGGTAATGAGTTCAGAGACAATGAATGATGCCCCTACGACATAATCAGACTATTCAACTTTATAGTGAATCTCTGATAGTTACCAATCATCCAGGATCATAAGAAATATGAGGGTTTTGCTACATTTTTCTCTGTAATTTTCCTGAATTTGTTAGCTTTAGTTGTGAATTGTTCTTCAGTCTAATAGCATCATCAACTCAACTTGATCTTGAGATAACTGGATTAGCTGAATGATGACAGTTGTCTTCTAGTCTTCATATCATGTATATTAAGATATGTTTAGGTCCTGCCAATTTCCAAAGGATGTGGCAGGTCATTGATTCTGAGTTTTTTTTGTCTGGCAGAGTATTGGAATCATCAATAACTTAGTTCATGGTCATATGAACATTGTTCCTTCCTTTAAGCTTTTATCAACAAATGAGGGTCTGAAGATTGAAGAAAGAATCCAAAAGCTTTCCAGGTACAGGAAGAAAAGAACAAAAAGAAATTTTCACAGAAAGATCAAGGTGAGTTTCTAGTCTATTCTCACATAGTACTTGTAGTCTATATGATCTCAACAGTTAACTACACTAATCAGATTAAAATTTTGACACACCTATGATAAAAAAAATGAATCATCTACATTTGAAAGTGATATTACCCACCCCTCCACATATTAGCTTTTGATGACAGTTTTCAAGCTACGTGGTTAGTTCAATTGAGCTACTCTAAGCAAATCCTGGAATGGCATTTTGAGGAACAACACATCTTAAATCTCCACCTAACAGCCTTCTATCCTCAGATGAATTCATCTAATTTGAATAACAGTGATCATATATGTGGATTGTGCAGTATGCATGCAGAAAGGCCTTGGCCGACAGTCAACCTCGTATACGAGGAAGGTTTGCAAAGATGCAGAGCAGTTGTGCGAAGACTGAGCATAATGATGCTGCAAACTGTAGAAACAAGGAATAGGGATCGTACCAGGAAAGAGCTTGCAACTTGTACTTCTTTCTGAGCACACCTCTAGTTGTGGTGTTGATCTGTCTATCCGTATTCTGTACGTTCAAAATAAATCAAATTTTGACATTGCACTCGGAAAATAATTTTAGCATGAGACTTATATGCAAATAGCAGAGATTCAGCAAATGATGCAGAAAAACCTGGGAAATGTCTTCTGTTATTAGTTACAGGTCTCACTCTCTAAAACTGGGTTGTGCACAGCTCCTCCTGCTGGGAAAACAGCACACAAGTATTAGATTTACATACAGTGAACGCATGCAACTTCTTATTGTGTACGGTAGTGGCTCCAAAACTATGTTATTTTTGGTCAAAAGAACAAGTCTTCATTGTGCACAGTAGTCTGTAATAGTGAAGGCTGAAGACTCGTATGCTTTCTTGATTAGGATGTTTGCTTGATCCTACATGGAGCACTTGCAGCGAAAAAACCAAATGCTACATATAGCAATTTATATTTGCTAACCACATTGCTTGGAGAGGGAGGAGATGATGACTATATGGACTAAAGTAGGGAAAGACAAAAAAAAATATGAGGAGATGATGCTTGAGAGAATAAAGAGGGTATCTAAATTTGTATATTTCAATGCACATTGTTGGTCAACTTGCAGGATGTCAAGGTCTAGTTACACATACACACACTGCAAGTGATGTACTTGAATAGACAATCAAGTATTTCCAAGCGGACTATTTAGTGCAAAATGATTTCGAACAATTCACTAATCGGCAAACAGATGCCCTAGAAATGAAATTTCTAATTGTTGCTGAAGATAAACAGTCCGCAGAACTTAACTACAATACACCATAAAATCAGAGGAAGATGAACCCAGGTTGTACTCAAATTTGATTTCTGCTTTCACTATCAAAAAATATTCCGTGAGAACACAAAAAAGCTAATCAAGTGTTGTAAACTAGAAAATGTGAAAACTCATGGCAGATGCATTTCAAACTCTCCTTGAAAACTCATTAACAAGATCAAATCTACAACCTTAAACCGGGCATCGTTTTCCCGGCGGAAGATCAAAACTACTTACCTGTACCTAGCAAATTGCGCTGACGGGATTCGGCTTCCGAGTCTTGAGTCCAAGGGCTTTGGGTTTACTCCCTCGGCCCTCCACCCTCCTCTTATTAAACCCCAAAGCTTTACATTTTCGATCCTTTCATGCTCTCTCCTTCGGCCTCTTTCTTCCCTAAGCGTTATTGTCCCTCTCCTCTGATGGGGAAGTGTCGTCCGAGGCTGAAGACGTTTCAAGGCTTTTGGGGCTTGCGAGCCGTTCAATAACATGGAAGGATTCGGCCTTGGGTCAACAACTTGGGCTACGCGGTCAGATTAAGCCCTAACTCGAACCCAATTTGAAATTTGACCACAATATTTGGATCAATTTTGACCCCGCGGTATCTTGATCTGATCCAACCCTAGCCAAGAACCCGGTCTAACCCGAGTCAAACCGGACACAGCTCAAGATTTTGGCCACGAGTGAGGTTTAGGTTCGGCTCAATTAATCTCAACCCGATAGGCAGATGTTGAATCAACATACATATTTTTTTCATATATGTATATGTATATGTATATATGTATATACATATATACATATACATATATGTATATGTATACACACAAAGCCATCCATTGGGTTGATTAAACATCATCTAACATCACTTTCTTGTTTGTTGACCGATTAGCTCCATTATTGTGCTGGTTATTGTGATGCTGCAAGTACTTCTGAGTCAAAAGTGAATAAGAACTTGATTGCGAAGAAGATGACACTGGAAATCTTAAGAAGCTCAGAGAAACACACAAGCAAATTGGCTTCAGACTTCCAAAACACAAGCAACATCAAGCACTCAGCAACTCATATCTCTCGTTCTTATTCAGCTGAGCTTGCTTGCAGGTCACTGAGGGAGTGGCTGGTGGTCTGAGCACATGTAGGCGTAGGTGTACACCAGCCCGGCGATGCCGCCACCGATGAGGGGACCGACCCAGTAGATCCAGAGGTCGGAGAAGTTCCCGCTGGCGACGGCCGGCCCGAAGGAGCGCGCCGGGTTCATCGACCCTCCGGAGAAGGGGCCCGCCGCGAGGATGTTGGCGCCGACGATGAAGCCGATGGCTATGGGGGCGATGGTGCCGAGAGAGCCCTTCTTCGGGTCGGCCGCCGTCGCGTACACCGTGTACACGAGGGCGAAGGTGATGATGATCTCCATCACCACCGCCTCTCCTGCTCCCACTCCGTCTCCCAGGCCATGGGTGGGGGTGTCCTACATGTTTCAGTGGAAGACAAGCATTTAGCTCTCTCTTGCGTCAACCCACCACAAGCATGCTTTGTTCCGATCTTACCAGTCCTGTCGCGAACTTGACGAGAAAAGCTCCAACGACAGCTCCAAGCAACTGCGCGACCCAGTAGAAGATCCCAGTGAGGATGGTAATCTGGCCTCCCAGAGCCAGCCCGAAGGTGACCGCCGGATTCACGTGGCCGCCGGAGATATTGGCGCCGACCGACACCGCCACGAAGAGCGCTAAACCATGGCAAACAGCGATCGCGACCAGCCCGGCAGGATCCAAAGCTGCGCTCGACGTCAGCTTGTCTGCAAACCACAGCATGCATCTAAGTCGAGACACAAAAACCCCACGGAAACTGTTGTAGGAGGGATAAAGAAAGAAAAAAGAGAGGATGATCAGTTAACTGTAAGCGATAGCTGATCCGACGCCGGCGAAGACGAAGAGAAGAGTGGAGATGAACTCGGCGAGGTAGGCTTTGAGTGTGCCGACACTGAAAGAGTCGTCAAATTGCCCAAAGGCGATGCCGGCCATGATCAAGGAACTCAGAGATCAAAACCTAAGCAAAGGCTGGAGAGGGAGAGACAGCTACCTAAACAAGATGAAGGCTGTTATGCATATTTATACACACACAGACATACAACTACAAGAGTTCACGGATTAGGAATGCATGTGATGAAATAAGGAGAGGGTGAGGAATGACATGGAGTGCTTATCCAATCCCATCTTGTCTACTATAATTAACGTGCAGTGATGGAAACGTCGGGAAGCTCATCAATGACTTGTGGGGATTCTGCAGCCGACCAGCCAATGGTGTGGCCTGCATGGTGGGCCACACCATGGATGTATCCAAGAAAGAAGATTGAAGAAGAAGAAGACGACGAAACATGTGATGGAATGAGTGTGTTGTGGTAATTGTTTGAACTCAAAATATTGATGTCTCATTTGTTTTCCTTTTGGATTGTAGGGTATATGACCTCTGATGATAGTTATTTCACATAGTTTCATCACAAATAATGCTTCGAATAGCTGGAAGAACATGTAGCCATGTGGCTCAAGCTGGTCTGCAGATTATAAATTTGTAGTGGATGGAAATAAGAGCTAATTTAAGGTATTGGCTTTGCATAGCTTATCTGTTCATCATGTTAGGACTCCGACATCTCAACCGCATCAGCTGATCTTAAATTGTGATAAGGTAGCTACTAAAGAAAGCTCCAGCAATGGAGTCCAAGGCAGCATTTAAATATATGATAACCACCAAAAAAGCATCTAAATTATACATCAAGAAAAATCATGGAATAATCTTGAGACGATTCTGATGTCTCTTTCAAGCATGAAAATTATCTTCCATATCACAGTCAGGATATTTACGAAAGACCTCTGGAAATGTTTGTACGTAATCAGAACCACATTTTTATTTAGGTTAACATTGACCTGTGGAAGAAACCAGTGGTTGAAATGATCTGGAGAGGAGGACAATGGCACATGACATTGTCGACTGCAAAGGACAGGAAAAAAGATGAGAGGGAATCGTCTCTTGTGATGGTGGGGCAGCTGCAGAGAGACCAAAGGGCTTGATGATCTCAGTAAAAATCTGTCGCCCTTGTCCTGAAAAATGAGGGATATTCTTTGATTTATTCCTTCTGCATATGAGATGCCAAGAACTGTTCCCAAGGAATGCAACGTCAGGAGGAGCTGGAAGTGGTCCGTCACACTCATGCTGAGCTGAAAGAAAACGCTGATACAGTGAAGTTGGCAGTCGCATGGAGAACTCCAAACCTTGGCTGGAAAAGATGAGAAGAAGTGGAGAAGATCGTAACATGCCAACCACTCATCACACCTTTGCGTGAGTTCTCAAATCCGTTGCTGATTTTTCTGCTGCTGAAAACAAGGGGATAACTTAAGCACCATGAAAGTGCTTGACGAAAGGAAGCTTTTGCCTCCAAGTTCAGAAAAGAAAAAAAGGAATCATCTTCGAAAGCCAAACACAGTGTTGCTAAACATGTTCTTTCCATGCAGCTGAGAGATGCAATTGGTAACATTAGTTATATTTATCTACTGCATGCAATGGGTTTCGGAGTGAAGCTTTCAATTAAGATTCTAAGGAACATGTATCTATTACATGAAACAAGATCTCATTTGGCCAAATAGAGCAATCCAGAACTAATAATTGCTTTGGGTACTTCTTCTTCTAAGAAGTTGACATCAAGAGACACTGGTAGCACTCAGCAACGTGATCATACATTGGTGATCAGAATGCTCCACAACCAATTAATCTTTCATACAACTATTAATTCTTTGTTTGTCATTGTTCGACCCTAACAATGGACTACTAACTAGCTCATATCATTGTCATTGTTCGACCCAATCTGTGCATGGCACCAACCATGAGCAGATAAGGCCAAAGATCTTGATGGAATTAGCCAAGAGGGGCTCTTTAGCTTTAGGTTGAGCCCAGTCTTTCATCTAAAGCTCTATAGCTTTAGCTTTAGATAGAAGTTTGTCTTCCAGCCAAGCGTATGATGCTCTATGTTCCAATCATGATGTATCAACTTTTTGTTCCAGAGGAACCTTACATGTACCCGATGGTGTCAGATTTGTCCATCTTGTTAAATTGAGACAATGGTTGATCAAGAATTTTGCTTCGGTAAATGTCAAGAAAAATATGTTACTAAACTATGTGCAATTACTAGATTTCAGCTCTTTACCAAACCATGTCTGTATTTGTGTATACGGTTGTGTGTATGAATGTGTGTACATGCATACGTTTGTGTATGTTTACGTGTGAATGACGGCATGTCATGTCTGTGGGATCAAGAGGAATCTCCACCGTTGAATCCGCTTGCGGATTGAAGATCGAACTTGCGATCGTCTCCAAATCGTGCGGTTACGCTTTCTGCCACGATGAGCCCCATCCTGGCCGTTCCCTTTACCCCTTCGAGGGTCTCAACTGTCCATAGGGATAGATGGACAGTCGAGATGTAAGATCATGGTGAAGCGACGACGAATGATAGGGAGTTGAAGGGACGCCGGATTCACCTGGGTTGGAGAGGATCCTGACCTGCACATTCAGCACGTGACTATCACGTGGCCGTCAGGAGCATGATGGATAGAGGCGGATTCGAGCGGAGAAACGTGAATTGCTTACGAGGTCGAAGACACGATCTCGGCCGGCGGATGGCGAGGATTGTTCCCATGGCGGCCACCTCCTCCAACTCGCACATCCGACTCGCTGCGCTCCACTCGCCACTCTCCTCCATCGCCGCCGCCGCCCGGGTCGCTCCCAGCTGTCTCAGCTCCGCCCCACGCCGTACGCTATCTCCTCTCTCGGTTGCCAAACTCCCAATTCTCCGCCTTCTCTTCGTACCTTTTTATCGATGTTTTGGAGACTTATCGATCTCCTTCCTGATTGGTTTCCCGATTGCTTGTTTTTGGGAGAAAAAAGACAATTCTTTTGGTGAACGCAATTGAGTACAATCTGGAATAATGCTTGTACAGCAAGTCTATGGTGAACTACTCGATTATGGTCATCACTTTCGCTCCAAGATTCGTGTTTCAGCTAAAGAAACATATGTTAGTGATGAGCAAGCAACCTCGGCAGATGGATTTAACTTGGTCGTGCTTGTCGTATTTTGGATTAAATGATCTTTTTATTTGGTAACAGTTTCATTGATTATATTCAGGCATTTAGTATCATATTCCGTGTGTTTTGCGTTCTTTGTGATAGATTACTTGATTGCAGTTACTGACTTCTCTCCAAGATTACATTCTTTTGGTAAGTGTATCTTTTGTTGGTATGCTATGACAGCATCACACCTAACAGAGATATCTCTGTTGGAATATTAAATCAAACTTTGGAATATTGTGTTCAGTCTCGGCCCTTCTTTTTCTTTGATCACTAGTCTATTCGTTTGTTTAATGAACTGTTTCTCTCAAGTGATTAATCTTTTGTTTAAATTTGGAATTTTCAATCTTTTGCTGTTGTTTTCCAATTTGATTGTATTGGGCCTGCTCACTGAATAGAGGTTGTAGGCTTACTGAAGCGACTCAGTAAAATTGCTAGGAGGCAAAGCTTATACTATGTGTGGCATTAAGACTATTTCTTTGTTATTACCTTGTTAACTATAATATGATGTTTTTTCAATACTGCATGATTACTTTCTCTCATTTTCACATGCTACTTCCCTTCTATGTCCATGGTAAAATGTAAACAGCTTAAATCTTGTTTAATATAACATTAATTTCTAGACCTAATCCTGTGGCTCTTTTCTGTATGTTATATTCAGCTATACATCTGGAACATTTGTTTGGAATAACAACTTCTAGATTGATAAGAAAAGCAAATTGTATAAAAGCCAGTGTCTCCGGCAACACGACGCAAGCAAGCACTGTTGATAAAGAAAGCGCTTTTGAGTGGGTGAAAACGGATAATCGGAGAATGCTTCATGTTGTTTATCGTGTTGGTGACTTGGAAAGGACAATAAAGTATCATGCCCTCTTTATTTAAATATATTTCATCTTTAATTGAAATATCTGGTTTAGACATGTAAAACATATTGGTGCAGATTCTACACAGAATGCTTGGGAATGAAGTTGTTGCGGAAACGTGACATTCCTGAGGAGAAGTACACTAATGCCTTCCTTGGATATGGACCCGAAGACTCACATTTTGTTGTTGAACTTACTTACAGTAAGGGACATGGATTATTTCTTCATGACATTAGAGGAACATTTCTTTTAGACATCTTTGCACATTTTTAATACCTACATCTTTTGTTAGTTGAGGAACTCAGAGTCTGCTATAGTGTTGCTGTTTGATAGTGTCATAATGCAAAATGTGTATCCCTGACATATCTGAATCTAGCTCTGTATTTTGCAAATGATGGCAGACTATGGAGTTGACAAGTACGATATTGGAACTGGTTTTGGACACTTTGGTGTTGCAGTTGAAGATGTAAGACTTCTTTTCATGTATAATAATGTACTGGCTTTTATCATCAGTTTATGCATGGTTTTGAGGAACATAAATGACAGTCCTAAGCTCCACGTGTGTCTAAGGACATAGCATAAAGAAATAATAGAAAAAGAGCTTTAGTAATCTTCATTAGTCCATAATCTGATTGTATATCACGCTGATAAACACTGAAATAAGCAATCTTCATGTCAATTTATATTTGGTGGTTGAATTTTTTGTTATAACTCGTTTATCCTCAAAGACAATTTTTATGTTGAATGTGGATTTTAAGTTCTCAAAACAAGCCTTATAAGTTTTTCTGCTTTGCATGAGGCTATGACGCCTTGAGATCATTCTCCTAGTGTTATACATCAATGAAATTTTGTCTTCGGAAAAGGATATCCGTTATGTGCAATAATATCATGATGCTTCCTTTCACATGAATATAATTGGAACATAGTTTATCTTCTACTGGAAGTTCTTTTCCCTCTTTTCGCGATAACCTAGTTTTTTAACCACTCAATCTATTGAATTGGTGGACAAACATTATTTCAGATGCTTGCTTTCGTGCTGTAACAAGAGTCACTGATACCTCCTACCCTGGCCTAGTTCTGATGTCTCTCTTCTTGAATGACTAGGCTTCTTCAAAATTTCTTCAATTTTAAAAATATATTTTGATCTAGGTAGCATCTCACCAACTTCTGTACAAATCATTCTTAAAAATGTTGCTTGTGAGATGATTTCTTCTTCTGGATACAGGTTGCCAAGACAGTGGATCTTATAAAAGCTAAAGGAGGAAAGGTAACCAGGGAACCTGGCCCTGTAAAAGGTGGCAGAAGTGTGATTGCTTTTATCGAAGATCCTGATGGTTATAAGTTTGAGCTTTTGGAAAGGGGCCCAACACCAGAACCCTTGTGTCAAGTGATGCTTCGTGTAGGAGATCTTGATCGTTCCATAAATTTCTATGAGAAGGTTGTTCTCTTTGAAATTTGACAACATTTCTTGATCATTCTATTTTTCCTTTTCATTTCTTGAGAAATGGTGTTTGATCATTTTCTATATTCTAAGTTTCTTTTTTATTTTTATTTTTCTTGTAACAAGGCATTTGGTATGGAGCTTCTTCGCAAAAGAGACAATCCTGAATATAAGGTAAATTTGATGCATCTGAAGTTCTGAATGCATATTTTCCAAAATTATTTAACAACGCTATACATTCTTGTTTGATTTTTTCTAACTCCAATTAAAATTTTAGCAATGTTGAACGCTGAAATGGTGGGAACCTTGTTTACTGGTGCACTTTATGTCCACCATTGATGAGGAACTACCTTGTTTCTTAAGTATTTGAGTAGTGGACAATATCCACTAGGCAGAATATAGTCTCTATCCTTGTTATCTACATGTACAAAATGATCTTTGAAACTTCATTTCTAAGAAGGCCAATTCACATTCCTTTCCTAAGCCTTTGCTGATACAATACTATTGGTGTCTCCTAGAATGCAGTGTCTCTCCAATTTTCTCGTTCATATATGTTGATTGATACTTAGCAGGAGAGTTGTTCGATACAATGCATAACTTTCTTGTTGTATGTACTACTACTATTTATTGTCTAAGCCTTGTTCCTACCTTTCGCTCTGAAAACATTTTGATGCCATTTTTTGTCATGTGTCCTGTAATCTATGTGTAAGTTCATTTTTAGTACACTATAGCGATGATGGGATACGGTCCTGAAGATACAAACACCGTTTTGGAGTTGACCTACAACTATGGAGTTACAGAATATGACAAAGGGAATGCCTTCGCACAGGTAATTTTTGTTACAATCTGCCTAGAAATCTGTTTAGTATCTCAGTATGATAGTTGTCGAGGATAATCTATGTATTGTTGCACTCTTTCTATTAAGATTCTAGTGATATGGTAATGGAATTGAACTTTCTCCGGAATTGCCACATATTATTATTCTAGATTGCAATTGGCACGGATGATGTTTACAAGACAGCAGCGGCCATAAAATTGCATGGAGGAACGATCACCCGTGAACCAGGCCCCTTACCTGTCATTAATACTAAGATAACTGCCTGCTTGGACCCAGATGGTTGGAAAACTGTATGTACCTGCATTTGACTCATTTTAGTATCGTGATTGTTTTATTTCAAGATTCTTGCAGCCCTTAAATACGGTATGCATATTTATGTTAGCTACTTGTTTATTATACTAGGTATGAAAGTACAATCTTTTAGGATGATGAAGGATAACATTCTGTAAAGGTTAACCAACACACTGTATGTCCAGATTGAATCTTTGAAGTCTTAATAATAACTTCCATAGTTCAGCAAATTTCCACTCTGCATAAACCAGTAAAACCACGCTATACTAACTGTAAATGCGCATGAAAATGGAGGATCATTTGGTTTTGCAGGTCTTTGTTGATAATGTAGATTTTGTTAAAGAGCTGGAGTATTAAGCCCTTGTTATCGGACCTACATCTCAAGGAGCATCAGTTACTCGACGACAACGGCTGGCTGTCGTCTAACTAATCTTGTAAAAGACCTACATCAGATCTCAGTTTGTATATAAATTGTTTTGCCCACCATGTTAATGGAAGTACTAACATATGAATTTCGCACTGCATCGGAGTTTTGATATTCTTTTTTTGTTTGTTATAAAGTAAAATCAAATCAATCTTGATTGGGTTCTGCCACAATTAATCACTTTTATCATCCAAGTATATCATCTTTTTCACATTGGCTTCTCTATGTACATGTCAGGCATGACTATCCAGCATTTGTGTGATGCCTTGGATGCAGATCTTTTCATCATATTTTCTGCATTCAAATTTGGAGCTGAGATTTATCTACAGGATTGACACAATAGTATAATATTAAGAAAGATCTAGTATATAGAATTTCAATTTCTGTAATTGATCATTTTTATATCTCAGAGTTGTGAACCCATAAATGCTGATTGATAATGTTGAAGGCCACCTTGAATGACTGTTGCCTTTCAATTACAGAAAATATTAGTACATATATTATAACGAAAGCAAGCTTATAACGATCTTATAAGTTGAACCAAATGTGACTTTGCTATGGACTTGTCCATATAGTGTTGTTAGTTATAATATTTTTAATAAACTTATAATATTTGTGGTGTATTTATCAAAATATTATATGATTATTTAAAAATACTATAACTAAGATAAATAGATTCAAATTTATTTTAAAAATAGAATCTCAAATATGTATTCTATATTTATAATGTTTCGATTAAAAAATATTATAATAAGATAAGAAATTGGATTGATTCATCTTATGAATTGGTCGACTGAGTGTAGCTAAATATTACTGCTCTAATTATTATATTATAAAATATTTTTGAAATTATGAAAAATATTAAAAATAGATAGCATAAAACACGTTTTACTTACTGTTCTACCCACTCGACGACCCCAAAGCGGGCTCCACAGTGTGTCCACTCACGAGCCACTGTTCATCTACCCAAGCCCACTAGAAATTGCCTTCCGTTCTTCTACACAAGCCCTAGTGAACTGAAGGTGCTCTCCGCCGGTGGTGCCGAATTCATCTCCATCGGTCGAGGGCGGCATACTCGAACGAGAGGAAGAAGGCGAGGAGGGAGAACTCGCCCCCCTCCTCGATCAACATCTCTCTAAGGTGGATCTTCTCAAGATTCCGTGGCTCCTGTGGCTCTCGTGCAATCGCAAGGTGAGAATGCTCCTTTACGCAGAAACCAGTATTAAAGGATAGGTCCGCTGTCACATCATTTCCGGTTCTGTTGATAATGGATTTATCAAAGATTACTGCTTGTCAGTATGGAGAGCCTTGTGTTTAAGAATTGACTCTCGAAAGATGACCCTCGATTGAGAATGGGAAGGACGATGCAGGGAACCTTGAGGGCCATCCAGTAGTCGTGGCTTACAATGATATTTTTCCTGACGTCTTTTTCTTTCTTTTGAGATTGGCTCGTATGTATCGATAAGGCAGATATATATTAACTCTGTTTCTGACACAATGTAACTGTTCTCTTGCCTTGCAGTTGCTTCTTTTTCCCTTCTTCTGTACCATGTTTACGGCTTCATTTGCACCCGGTGCATCTCCTCAGATTCCGACATGGCATCCTGCTCAATCTTCTTTATCTTCCTTCTGGCAGTCGGAAGACGTGCATGAGCATCTGAGAAAGTTGAAAGAAACCGTTGGTCTTGCAAAAGCATTGTACATTTGCTCACCATCCAACTTTGTTGAAAAAAATTGATTTTGATTCCTCATCCTGGTCCTTCAATTGTATAAACGCTTCCTGCAGGAAGACAGAGCTAGAAGAAATTCTTCGTGTTAGAAGGTCAAGGGACCCCAATTCTGAAAGAGTTTCCTTATCTTTGGATTGCCCATCACCAAGAGAACTGTCGCCGTCTTTAAACGATTCCATTGCCACCGGCGTTTCTCGGTGTTTTGAGGATGAGTCGAATTTGCAAATTTTAAAATTGATTGAAGCAAAGAGAATCAGTCTGGATGTTCAAGAATCCCTCTCGATGGAGGCAGCAAACACACTGCTTTCGACTCTGAAATATCAGCTTGTGCCTCTTAATGGCATCACAAGTCAAGCAATACCATGGGAGGAGAAGTCAGCGGCAGTTAAATTTGCTAACAAGCTGCAAAAGTCCAAAAGGAACAAGTTGTGGAAGAAAAAAAAAAGAAAACGTGTTGCTGAATTAGCACGCAAGGTTGTTCAGGACTGGTTTGCCATATTAGTTAAATTTCTATCTGTTCTGAGGCTTTCTTGATAAGCTTAAAGTTATTAAACTTGCGGTGCCTGCGTTAGACAAGTTGTATTGCTGCTTTATGTTTATTTATTGAATTCTTGGATTGATTTTATGTTCTGAAGTTGCGTGAAGATTATGATAAAGCTGACCACGATGCTGATGAATGGAGAGCTAGGGAGATTGCCAATGACATGGCGAGACGCAAGGTATGTCATTTATTAGTCATGAGTTCAGTATGATTTTTGTAACTTTCAGGGCTTTTTGGTTGTTAGTCTTTAAGTTCGTGAAACATGAAATTTCCTCATTCTGCCGTTTGCTATACTGTAGATTGTTGACTTCTTCCTTCCAAATCATTCTTCCTTGTTTTCTTTGCAACCCTCCTTTGGATAATCTATTCAATGAATCAGGTCACCAACTTTAAAGTTCATCATGCCTGATTAGTATTCAATTTTTTTAGGAGTCTCCTATTCAATATGTAGGTGCTGCTATACTGAACAATACAATGGTAAATTTCCAGCCACTTAGACTATTTCTTGACATAATTGGGAAAGGTTGTGGTTTAAATTTTTTCTTTACATTTTTTAAGTTAAACTTTGATCACATATTCCCTTTCTCAGGTTATCACTTTTTATGGTTCTTGTTGATGCATGTATGTGTCTTTTCTGATCTTACAATGGATTACCAATTCAACCTTCTCCCTAGTGGCTAACATAAGCATGGTGATTCCAGGTAGAAAGCATGAAAGAAATTGCAAAGCTGAAGTCTAGAGAGGAGAGAAAGAGACTAGAATCTGAGGTAAGACATTCTGGACACATATCACATGTATGCTACAATAAGGATGTTGAGTATTCATGATTTAGTTCTAATTATTAATGCTTATTATTTGTTCATTTGATTTTGAGATTTAACAGTTTATTATGTTGTCTGTTTTTCTATTGTTATAAGAGCATTTTAAAAATGTTCTTCCATGAAGGATTGCCTTGTCATGGGCCATGTTGGCACTTGGCATTTATCATCATGCTGTTGATGTGTCCAACATTCTGAGTTTCCGGCACAATTTTCTTCGGATGCTTTAGTTGTTGAATCATTTAATGGCTGTTTCAGGCACATGTGTTGTTTGATATTTGATAGTCATCTACATTTCATCTTATTTCCTTGACAGAGCAACATTTATTGATTATTCTGTTACATTGTAATGTCAGTATATTTCCGTATGTTCTGTAATGATTAAACATTTTGATAAAGATGGTTTTGCAATGGACGGTGAGTTGTAATTTAATTTTTACATTTCAAAACTAATCAAATCATATTTAAACAAGGAAGCTTCTTGAATTCATGTGATGATTTTAGCTGTGTTTTGATAAGGTTAGTAAGGCATGTGGATACGATGCAACTGCAACAACTTTGAAATAGGGAGAGGATTGATATGACTGCTGTGATAGGTGCTACTTGACATTGTATCCCCGTATGAATTTCCAATAAATGTAGGCATATTTTATGCCGATGTGCATGTCACAGATGAATCCCTGTGATACAGACATACTTCCATGTTGTACTGCTATTTGTGGATTGGTAAGATGGCAGAACTGTCATACTGTTACTACTGATGAAAGTTTTGAGCTAGTTCCCCATGGCAAATAGTCATGCTGGTGTGTTTTTCTGCTTCCCGACCTCAATCTTTCATGGTACTTGGTGGTTGAATCTTGTTCTGATCTTGGGTGGCATGTGTGGAAATTTGTTCCTTTTTCCAAATATACTGTCTGTTATTGAAAAGAGTCTGCCCTCATCATGAACTTGTAATATATCACTTGACTACTGCAGTAATGTGCTTAAATTCCTTTTGTTGTATGCCTTTCCATTATTTTATTGTCTACATTTATCAGTGCATAAAAGATATCTGGATTTTGTTTAATTTGGTGGTACACATGATTATTTGTTATGTGTACGACTTCTGTTTTTTGCATTCAGAGATAGTATTAAAAGAAAATTGTGTCAGTCCTGATAATTTTAGCATTGTTAACCAAAAGTTATCTTAACTTTCAGCTTGAGCTTTTCCTAGTCGTTGAGAAATTGCAAGAGCTTCACTCCATCAGAATTCAGAAGTTGAAAAAACAAGGCAAGACACCTTTTTTTTATAATTATATAAAACTCTCAAAATTTTATATGGTTTCTAAATTTCTTTGTTTTTAGTAAGATTTTGATAAGTTGCGCTAAAGAATTGTCAGATTAGAATAATCTCAGTTTTGCTAGTGTGATTTAACAAATATTATCCTAATAATATTTGTTAGTGCGCTAAATTTCTTATGCCAAAAGAATTCAGTCTTTACACAGGTTCACTAATAACCATCTTAGTATTATACTGTTGTGACAGCAACTAACTGAAACAAATAGGCACAAATGACAAATTTACTCTAACAACAGATCGATTGAAACAACTGTCTGATGGTAAAAAAGGATTTGTTTTACTATATCATGAATTTTCCAAGTAAAAAAGACTGGATGATTTGACCCGGTTCAGTAAGGTCTGTTCCAAGTAAGAAGCCTGTCAGATTTGAATTTGTGGTTGTGCAGGTCATTTCATTCCAGAAGAGGATGATAAATTTCTTGAGCGTGTACGAGCTGCTGTTGAGGAAGAGGAGCGGCAAGCTGCAGCTGCTGCTGACACACATGCTGCCAAGGATGCCATTGCAACAGCTGAGGAGTCTAGAAAAGTTATGCAGAACGCCATAACAGAAGCAAATTCTATTGATGAAATTGAAGGCGAGCCATCTAAGACCAAAGGCCAAAGTGAAAGAAGTTTGGTCATGGATGCAAATATGAAGTCTGAACAACAGAAGGATGAAGCTCTGGGTTGGGGTAGTGGCTACGATTCTGTGTCAAATTTACCATTTGAGTTCCTCCACTATTATCATGGAAGCAGCAATGATATGGGGACACTAATTGAAGTGAGTTCACCAATTCTTGGAGCTAAACCTTTTTATGTTATCCTAGTTTAGTTGTTTGAGTCTGTGAAAGTAGTTATAGTTTTTGTTTGATCTTATAACTTATAAGGATAAGTTAGTGCAGATAGTTTGTCAAGTATAACCGATTGTTTATGCTTTTATTGTTCTGGATTTGTAGATTATTTTAGTTTAGAATAACAAGTCGTACGAATCCTTTATTTTCTTCATTTGAGATCATTTTTTCTACAACACATGTTATTAAATATTCTTGTGAAATTGTCTCATTCATTCCTGGTGGTATTAAAGTACAAACCACTTTGTTACATTTGTTTACTTAGATTAAAATACCTAAATAAAGGGTTTTAGTCATATTGTTTGAAGGTCTCTAACCCATATATCACTATCGTGTATACAAAATTTATTTTTGCTTCTGCGTAATGGTTTGAATCCTTAATTGCAATGATCAAGAGTATTTAGTGTGTTAACGTGGTTATTCAAAGGCTCTCAACTATATGAACTGTTAACTTCAAGATGTAGTCAATCGTACTTAATGATCCGATCCAAGCATTTTCAATCATCTTTTAAGATTGTATTACAAGTATAATGTATCCAAAATAGTGACATTTATTTGACTCTCTCTTGCAAGTTCTTTCACTGTTTTTAGCAATTCTTTTTTTATGTTCTTTTAATGTATTAGCCTTATGGTTGCAAAATTCAATTCATATTTTCAGGTTAGACGAACTTGGGATGCTTATATTAGACCTGGAGGAAGGTACATTCCTTGACTTTTTCGTTAACATATGGGCACTATACCAGAATTATAATATACTAACATCATACTTTTCTGTTTTAGGAAGTGGGAATATTGTTACAACTTACAACATTTTTTTGCTAAAATAAACTGATGTTATTTTAATTTTCCAACACAAGTTTCTTTCTTGGCCTCTCGAGCTGTTGCAAAATGTCAATTAGTACTTAACTTTTAAGGTCATAGATTTCATTTATCTTCTTTATTGGGGGAGCACTGGAATCTTCCCTTTTAATAAGGAAGTCAAGAAGGTTGTCTACTTTAAATACATGCCTTCTTCTGATTAGCATCTTATGAAAGAGGGCTTTTAATATATTGATCTTATTATTTTTTTGCTGTTTAATTTAGCTGGACCATGGACTGGCCACTGAGTTGCATCAATGACCACTTCAGTTTGTGTTTTGTTATGGAACTGACTTGTTTTGTGCTTTACTAATATGATCTGGGTGTTGTTTCATCTCATTTTGGGTGAAATTAGAAAAAAGGGCTTGTAGCCTTTGTGTTTATTTTTAATTTTAAATTCATTTTGTGGGTACCTTTGGATGCAGCCGGATACCTGGACACTGGGTGCGGCCACCACCACCTGCAGATGCAGTCTGGGCATCATACCTTATCCAACCGAAGTAGTGTCTTCACATGAACTATCTGTCTCATCTTGCAGTGTCACATTTGAGAAAGGTATGTAATTTGCTTAAAAGCATAATTATGAAGTTTGATTGAAGTAAGCTGGTATTTTATATTTATAAACATGTTAGCTTTGTAATAGAAATACAAGTGCATTTTTCGGACACACAAAGTGTTAATTTGTAACAGCACTTCAAGAGGGGGGAATCAAATGTTTACTGTTTATGGGAAGGGGAAAAGAGGTGGACAAGTTGCTTCTGATCATATAATTTGCTCGTCAGTTGTAGATGAATTAGTTTCTTCTTGTCAACAAGAAACTAAAATGTCCCAATTTGAACACCACATTCTCACATTGTCATTTTTCCACATGATAATTTAAATTTCTAAATGTTGCTGAATTTCATATCATAAGTTATTGATTATTTTAACTGTCATGCATCCATTGACCATCTGTTTATCACTATCATGCTGATTGACCATCCTCTACCACCTTCATTCCAAACAACCATCAATGTCGAAGTGCAACCCTCCTAGATGCTCGGATATCTTCTGATGTCCCATCTGTTGTCAGTTTCAAATTGTCTTAATGTTGGCAACCTGTTACTCCTCCTGTCTCTCTCATCCTATGGCATCTACTCTCTTTAAGCTGGTGTACAGGTGATCCATCTCTGAAAGCTGGGTCATAAACCAATCCCTCCCTTATCTAGTAACATGAATGACCTGGATCTAGAAATTTGTTTTCTCGTGATTGATATATATTTCTCATACACATATCAGTGTAAGGCCCTCCTGGGGCATTAGTTGACCTGTAGAAAAGGATGTGCACCTCCAATCAGTCCACAGCACTAGTAGTTCAACCTAGCTTAGTTGGAGTACCAGCTAATTTGCAGCAATAAATATTGAGCAAAGATCATTGCTAGTTGGTAAAGCTGCATGGTAGCTTTAATTTCTCCCTTTCAATCAAATCTGTGGCATCCGAGCTAGAACAATAATAGTGCTTAAATCCTTGCTTCATGGTGAATTGCTGTCGAACAATGTATGCATCTTCATACTTTCTTTTCTTTATTACATTGATTCATGACTCAATTCTCCACCGTTATGAGTGGGCTTAACTGGTTTCCTAATGATTGGTTATGAATCCCAATGTTGCTTATGATTGAGTTATAACTCGTTCTCCTTATGCCTCAGAGACATAAATGGTCTTCCAGGAATATGATTTAGATGAGATTTTCCAGCCAGTAAAAGATTAAATTCCCTAGCTCAGTATGGTTCTCCAAACTAATATGGGCATCTTTATTTGTGCAGGTGCAGTGGTGGTGCCGGAGGGCAACCGGGGTAATGCAACGAGGACAGGGATCGCCACTAGTTATTGTTGAATCCAACACCGAATCTGCTGTCCATATTCCAATAATAACATCAGCAAAGTTAAAGAAAAAATATATATAATTTCAGGGTTAGAAAGTACAGTTTGTGTATGTTAATCCTTTGCATTGGTGGGACCTCATCTTTTAAATATAAAATGACAAGTTTTGGCAATAATAATTTCTTTTTTCGTATGTTATTAAGTCCCATAATTTCTTGATATACGGTATAATGTGACAATAAGAAAGGTGATTATTATTTAGTGGTTTGTTCACATACTTGAATACATCCTTTTGAGTGTTGTTTTGAGCTTTTGGACCAAATAATTAAATGGGGGAGATGAATATGATTTTCCAATAATTCGACATAATATATTAATATTACCGTAAAAAGGATATTATAATTATTTGATATGAGGACAAAGTTATTTTATTTTGTGCTTAGCAATGGATTAGTTGAATTAATGGTGAGATAATTAGTATTAATAATTAAATAACTAAAATAATTTAATTAAATATTTTTAATTGAAATATGGATATTGTTCTGTGTAGAGCTCAATGTTGTTTATTAGAAAAATAATTAAATCATTTCCATAATTTATTGACATAAAACATCAATCTTATTATATCCATGTAAAATACTCAACAAGGTTGCATACGGCGGACGCTCCTCTTACTATCGGTCGGTCGCTCTTGCGTCGTCAATTGTGTCCGCGAACGAGAGCGGACGAGGGAAGGCGATGGCGAATGCGGGCGGTGCGGCGTTCCGATGGGTGCTGCAGCTGCACCGGGACGTTCCGAGGGCCGCTCGGTTCTACTCGGAGGGCCTCGACTTCAGCGTCAACGTCTGCACCCTCCGGTGGGCCGAGCTCCAGTCCGGCCCCCTCAAGCTGGCGCTCATGCACTCCCCCAGGTTTCGCTCCGTCACCGTGTTCTCGTTTGAGTAGTCTCTTATCCCTTTCCGGTCCGATCCTTGTGCGATACGCTCAAGTACGATGCCGTCATATTTCGCCGACCAATTGTTTGTAGATTGTCCACACTAAACGAACACAACATACTACTGGTAGACTAATCTTAGAGGCAGCGTGATACCGTGGGAAGGACAAGGCAATCTAATGCACCATTAGAAAGGGAAAAGGAATAACGTTGGCGTTTGTCTATTTTGACTATAAGGAAAAACAAGATTGAATATTTAGACTGAGAATTTGAGGTTTTATAGTGGCAGGAACATATTCAAGAATTAGGTAAATTGCGCAATAAGCATCAGGTGCTGCTGCCGTTGATCTTATTATGGTGTTGTTTTCTTTCTTCTGTGAATCACTGTTCTTGTTTAAGTTCTGTGACCGTTGGAGAATTTGTTACATATTTCCCTAAATTCCAGTACTTACCGCAGTATCGTTTTCTCATTTTTGAGAAAATAGCTGCTTATTTCCCAGGTGCCAATCCTGTGAGATTTTAATTTGTACACTTGGCACCAAAAGCCATTGCAAGGCTCAGAAACAATGAAGAATCTCTCAGAGAGCAGACTTCATGTATTTGGGATTCTCCTTGAGAACAGGGTTCACGTGGGGATTATTTCTTTGTAGATATTGATTTTAAAGACAACTCGTCCTATTCTGTTCTGTCATCAAATTATAATTGTTGCAAATTAAGCTGTAATTGACTGATATAACCATTGTGTTTGATTTGACCCAGTATAGTGACATAACCTGATGAAGCTAAATCAAGAGCACACATATATATATATATAAAGTGTGCCAAAGAAAACAGCAAGGATATATATGCCACAGTACATTTCTAAACATATTGTATCGTCTTCCAGGAAACGACTTCAAATAAGCAAACAATGTGGGTTCAGAAACAGGCCATGGATATGCAGAAATTTCACATAATTAGCTGATAATGGAATAGGGATTCCAGAAGCAAGTAGGCAATAGATTATGGGGAGAGAGAGAAGGTAAAGAGTGCATATGAGACACTGGAATACAGAGATAAGCTTTCAACTGTTACATTAATTCTCCAAAACTAAACTACAAAGCCCAAGGTCTTCGTATATCCCCATATTAGTTGTATGCTAATAAAAAAATTTGCAAGAGGTGGTTTGAATGTATATGGAAATTCAAATGGGTCCTTATGATAAAGAGAGGGGGGGAGAAATGTGCAGATGTTTTTTGGCATTTAAGAGGCCCACATGCCAGGTTTCCCTAAAATTCTTGAAATGGTAAGATTCACAACCTTCTTTAATCCGTGTGTCTCTAGGTAGTTTCTTCTGCAAAGTACTATGTAAAATGGGCTTGGGAGACCACCATAATGCCACAACCTAGGACTGTGCTCTGCTAGGAGATAACATGCTTGCATATATTGTCTCCAACATTCTATTATTTTGTCACATAAATTTAACATCTCTCAGAAGTTCAGTGTTCAATTTTTTTGTCACAGTGACATAACCATGCAGAAAGGATACTCTTCCATGTTATCCTTCACAGTAGCTGACATGAACAGCACAGTGACCAAACTAATGTCACTGGGAGCTGAGCTCGATGGCCCCATAAAGTATGAAATCCATGGCAAGGTATGTTATCCATACATCTAAAATTATCTTCTGAGATGTTTTGAATTCATTAATTTGGTAAGTTTTCTGTACAGGTTGCTGCCTTGCGATGCCTTGATGGGCATATGTTGGGTCTCTATGAACCTGCATGAAACTTCTTATAAGTTTCTGTTTCCAACTACAACAGAGGCTGTGCAGGAAATTGAACATGAGATTCTCTCAGCAACATCAGGGTTTTTGATTTGATGTCAGTGGCAGGATCTTTCCTCTCACTGTATTTGAAGAATATAGGAAACATCTTCTTTATGGTTGCACTGCAAGACAGAAACTGTTTTCCTTATCCACATGAATCAAAGCAGTGCAAAGCATGTGTAACGTTGGACCTCTCATTTAGCATATCAAATAGTCCAGTGGCAATTCTGAACATGTGTAAAGTTCATATCCTTTATATTTTAAGCTTGGCCAACAGTTGATTGCCTGTCATGAAATTTTTCATCCGTAGAATCTCCATCAATTGACAGTTCTTTTGCTTTCAACTCTGCTGAAAGTTGTTCTGCTCTTTTGTGCACCGATATTGTTCTCATATTGTATCTCCATGAAGTAGCTGATAGGCATGGTGTGGAATTTCACACTTGTTGTTCAGAAAATATCTGTCATTCATCTCTATCCTACCAGTCTATGAATATATTTACATATATATGGTGTAATTTGTGTTACAACTTTATTATTTGTCATATACCTGCTATATTTCTGAGATGGATGCATATTTTTCTGCCTGGAAGAATGGTCTTTGCCCAACTTGCTAATGGAGAAGAGGTTTTTGGGTGCTTTTTTCATCATTCAGTATTTTTGACTTCACACATCCACCATAATACAGTTGTGTCCAGGAGAAATGTTGTATGATTGAATTCTCTGTGATCAAGAACCATGTCAACCTCTGCGAGCAATTACTATGATGACTTTTCTATTAACTTTGTATAAAGCCAGATCAGCATCTTACGTCCACGGCATCTGTAGGTGAGTTGGCATCCATCCAGCAGCAAATCTGGGGATATAAGATTTCTCCTTCGGCTTCGGCAACTTCCTTTCTTAGTGGAGGTACTAAATTTAGCATAAATGCCTGATCAAAACATTTGCATTCTCATTTTCTTCAGGTTTTAAATCTTACAAAGCTGGCAAAACAAGGAAGATCATGCAGTACTGCTGCTGGCAAAGCTGAATGCGCAGCTTGGTAGCTCGCCTGTGCATGAGTAGGCTGTGAATGACTTGACTATTTAGCAGTGTGGCTCTGACCTGGTAGCTGCACTCAAGATTGTGTCAAGCATCAAGGTTATTTAGTCACAGTTGATTGTACTAGTTAAGATTTATTCATGTGATGAGAAGGTTTACTGACTGTCTGACCGACTAAAGCTGTTTTCGATCTGCGACCAATGTCTGCTAATGCAATTACGTTGAGAGTGGATGGTTTTTGTGATTGAAGTAGCATCAGCAGTGACATGGTGGTATCACTCAATGTTAAGAACTCTTTGTTATTATACAGTAGAAAGTTGACTGAATGGATTGCGCACATCATGCTATGTATGTTGTGATTGTTTGGAATGATATATACGAGGAATAAAAGAACTTAGTGTGAAGAAGAGCAATGTTTTTAATATTTATACAGGTTTTGAGAAAGGAATTTTCTTTAATCATACACTCAAGTTACTTAATCATAGATTGATTGAAGAAGAAATGCAAGAATGTCAATGTCGCCTCTTTGACAAATCCTAACATTGATATTTGTACTTCATATTCTTGATAATTTAAAATCTTTGACAAAATATAATTAAGCATCGACTATCCATTCTATCTCATCGAGAATATTTTAATTAACAAAAATCGAATAAAAATCTGAAGTGGGATGACGCGAAGATAAGAGGTTGTGTATCAGTCGTGAAATCTCATTCATTAATAAATATGATTTAGTTCATCGAATAAATTTAGAACAATAACAAAGGATAAGGTGAATATTAATTTACAATTAAAAATATATTTAGAGATATATATATATATATATATCCTTTGTAATTTTATATAAGTATATATATCATTTGCTCAGTTGAAAATCTCTTAATGCCAGTTGGTCATATCAATATCGAAGTATCATTGTCTTTGTAATATGATTGTGACATATCATTTATATTTGATCTATTTCAAATCCCATAATTCATCTGTGAGATCATACTATTTTCGCAATACTTATATTAGAATATAAGAAATTGTTAGAATATCGAGATGAAAATAAGAAATTTCTTAAGATGATATATATATATATATATATATATATATATATATATATATATATATATATATATATATATATATATATTATCATTATAATGATGATAATGATGCGTGTCGTGTAAATAAAGCCTCTCTCGCCTTTCCTTTCTCCCTTCTTTTCGCTCGACTCGTTGGGAGAAGAGGAGAGAGTTCGACGATTCGAGCAGGTACTTCTTTGATTCGATCTTGGTGTTTTCGATCGAATTCTTATCCTTATCTGTGGGATCCGATCTTTCTGGGTTGGTCGGAGCAGTCGGACGTCCTTGCGATGGCTTCCAAGCGGATCTTGAAAGAGCTCAAGGATCTCCAGAAGGACCCCCCAACGTCTTGCAGCGCAGGTACTGCCGATCTAAATGAGCATCGATTACCTGCCTGATTGCGTCAAAAAAGTTGCATTTTTTGCTTTCCTCTTCTTTTGAGTGCGATTAGCTGCGCGAGTTTTGCGACCCGCCTGCGTGGGGCGTTGGTTCCTTGTGAGATCGCCGTGGAGTGGTTGAGGTCTGTGTTTGTCGTGGTCAAGGTGTTACTTTTTCTTCGTCTTTTCGCAAATATCTCTGTATCATAGGAGTAGTGATCACGATTCTGTTGATCAGAGAAGTTCTTTCCTTTTCCTCCCCTTTCCATATTTTAAGCTTGCTTTAGGGCTGCACGATTCTGCATTTGATTATAGGAGATGATCTAAGACGTTGGAGTGAATTCTGTTTCTTGGGATCATGCTGTTACGATGACGACGAGAACTTCTTGATTATTTGAGGTTGTTAGTAAGCAAGAGGTTTTCAATTGAGCACATTAAGCAAAATTTCTAGCAATGTCGAGACATCATTTTGATTTGGAAAGAAACTTTTTTCATCATTTTGTTAATCCATTGGTCAAATAATGATCTCTTTTACAATGAAAAGATATACACGATGACCAAAGCTAAAAGGATAGTATTTTCGAAAACGGCGATTTTGCTAAACAATATCTTGGTGCTGAGTTTTATGATGCAACCTGTAGCTGGCTCCTGATATGGTGCTTCTGTGATTGAAATTAGTAATGCTAGAAGTTCACACTTTGAGGATCCTTGACCTTTTTTGTTGTCATTGTGATATGCTTCTTTGTGCAGCTTTGAACTTATTAAATATTGTAACGTGATCATTTGACTACTGCAATGTACAATGTTGACTTCTGCTTCAGTGTTGGCATTACAGGATGAGTATTGTTACGGTAAGTAACTTTTTCAGCCGTGACCTCGGGGTCGACGCGGTTGGTTCAGGGCTCCAAATGGCTGGGATCAGACGTGGCTCCCCTTGGGATGTTGTGGTAGCTGACGCAGGGGATCTGGCTGGAAAGTTCTGCGACGCCAAGTGGATTCAGCGGCGGTCGAGTACCTGCACACAGGTCGGGTCGGTCGCTCGGCCCGACCCCTCCGACGATCAAGTCAGTGATGCGGAGAGGAGTTTTTTAGTGAGATTGTCCCCCCTCCCCTTGCCCGTTGGGAGCCAGGGGGTATTTATAAGTGGGTTTGATGTTACCTGATGTGCCATCCTGCCGGAGCAGGGTCGTACCTCTGATAGCGTCTGTCGTCGTCGTGGGCGTTGCGTGGGAGGCCGAGCTGCCGCGGGGTATGGGGGGTGTCAGTCACCGCCTTCTCCTGCCTCGGCCGGCCATGAGGGGTCAGCCGAGGAGGTTGTCTGGGTACGGTGGGTGTGGGTGCATGTCGTGTCGTTGTTTAATGCTCGTTCTGGGGCAGTGTGCCGCACAGGGTGTCCGACGTGGGGGTGTATTACGTCAAATCCGGGGTATTATGTCAAATCAGTTTTTTACCCCTATCATATGCCCCACCCGAAAGGAGCTATGCGTCGGTTTTGCATGTAGGGAGTCCGATGCATGGCTTCCTGCTTCAAGCGGGCTGTTCAGGCGGGTCGGTTGTGTGAACGCATCTCGAGCAGCACTAGGCCGAGGCGCGCAACTCAGTCGGGAGGCCGAGCAGGATTGAACTTGGGGGCAATGGAGCCGATGAGAGCCGAGGAGCACAGCGCAGGCGGGGTGACCGCGCAGGTGTGGTCTCGGGAGGCGTAAAGCCGAGGGCCGAGGAGCACAACGCAGGCGGGGTGACCGCGCAGGTGTGATCTCGGGAGGCGTAAAGCCGAGGGCCGAGGAGCACAACGCAGGCGGGGTGACCGCGCAGGTGTGATCTCGGGAGGCGTAAAGCCGAGGGCCGAGGAGCACAACGCAGGCGGGGTGACCGCGCAGGTGTGATCTCGAGAGGCGTAAAGCCGAGGGCCGAGGAGCACAACGCAGGCGGGGTGACCGCGCAGGTGTGATCTCGGGAGCAATGGAGCCGATGAGAGCCGAGGAGCACAGCGCAGGCGGGGTGACCGCGCAGGTGTGATCTCGGGAGGCGTAAAGCCGAGGGCCGAGGAGCACAACGTAGGCGGGGTGACCGCGCAGGTGTGGTCTCGAGAGGCGTAAAGCCGAGGGCCGAGGAGCACAACGCAGGCGGGGTGACCGCGCAGGTGTGATCTCGGGAGGCGTAAAGCCGAGGGCCGAGGAGCACAACGCAGGCAGGGTGACCGCGCAGGTGTGATCAGAGCACAACGCAGGCGGGGTGACCGCGCAGGTGTGATCTCGGGAGGCGTAAAGCCGAGGGCCGAGGAGCACAACGCAGGCGGGGTGACCGCGCAAGTGTGATCTCGGGAGGCGTAAAGCCGAGGGCTCTACTTTTAAATTTGGCGGCGGTGGGGGTCGAAAAGTTACCGCATTTAATTTTATTCTCCGAAAGGGGGAGCTGGGCGTACGTCTCCGGGCGTCGAGGTCGAGGTGTCCGGCTGCTGCCGCTTCAGTGGGGTCGCCACGTCAAGCCTCCATTAAGGCGGAGCGTCTTTGGGTGCCTTCCGATGCGACGCGACGGCTACGCGCGTGCGCTGGTGAGCTGTTGCCCGCTCTTGGGAGGCGAAGGGGCCTTGATTCTGGCGGGACATCATCTTTATAGCGGACACCAGAATTTACCTCTATCTTCTGCTGCAGCGTTTCCTCCTTCGAGTTCCGCTGTTGCCTCCCCAGTTCTCTTCCTGGCCCCCTACGTAGTTTTTTCCTCTTCCTAAGGTCAGTTGAGATGTCGTCCTCTTCTTCTTCTTCCTCTTCCTCTCCCTCTCCCTCTCCATCCTCTTCTCCTTCCCCTATCCTCGGAGCTGGGGAGGGGAATCCCCCTTCGCCCCCTGTTGAATCTTCTGACGAGGAAGCGGCACGAGCCCTCGAAGCTTTGATGTGGCCGCACGACCTGGACTCCGTTGTGAGCGGGTCTTCGCTGGAGGAACTCCGGGAGCGCTACAGTATCCCGGAGGATCACATCCTCAGCGCCCCTGAGCCGAGGCAGCGGGCGTACGATCCAGTCCCGAAGGGCTTCGCCCTATCCCTTGACGCCCTGGAAGCGGGCTTGCGCTTTCCTCTCCATCCCCTTATCGTGTCTTGCCTGTCCCTTTGGCGGATTTCGCCGTCTCAGGTGGCACCAAACTCTTGGCGCTACCTAGTGGCATTCCTGGGGGAATGTTATTACGCCGATATTACCCCTACCCTCGACCTCTTTCTCTCTTGTTATCGTCTTTGCAAGGGCTCGGGGGGCTACTTCCTATCGGCCCGAACGGGTTTTCGTGTCGGGGGGCCCCCTTCCAGTAACAAGGGATGGAAGGGGAGGTTTTTCTATATCAGCCGCGCACAGGACTGGGGCTTCGGGGTTCGATGGTCTGCGAGGGCGATCGATAACACCACCCCCTGTTTGGGCGACGTAGAGCGCCAAGCTATGGGGAGGCTCAGAGAGATCCTCCCTAGGTCGCAGGCCATCCGGACCATGACCGAACAGTGGCTGGTCGAGGCGGGCCTTAGCCCGATGCCTCTGGGTACGTTTTAACGATATTTGGTTTGGGTTTTAGCGTGGCTGATTTTTGGCACTAACCCGTTCCGTTTCTTGCAGAAATGGTGAATCTCCGTTCGCTCCTGGAGGTTCAGGCGCCGCAACCCCCTCTTCCCGCTCCGCCGGCCGACCCGGAACCCTCTCTCCCAGCTCTGCCGGTCGACCCGTAGCCTGGCACGGAGGCGGCTCCGCTGGAGGTCGAGGCTGAGCGCCCTTTGAAGAAGGCGAAGACAACCCCGTCGAGGGGTCCTGAGGCGGGCCACCGTCGCGGCGGGGCCGGACCTAGTCGACGGACAACCGGGAAAGGCCCGCGCCCTGTCTCCGTACGCGACTTGTGCCGACTCCCAACC